TGTCAATTTTTTTCATGTTACTGAGCAAGCTCACTTTTGCAAGGCATTCACATTTTGCAAGACTGACTTATTGATTATTGGCTATTTGTGGATACAAGTCACATAAGAAATTTTCTAAAAACAACATGAAAAATTAGTAAAGATGAGGTAGTACATGGCTGTATATGATTTAGTCCCACAAAAGGAGCAGCAGAAATTTAGGAAAGGATACCATTATGTGTAGGAGTAGTTAGAAAAGCTATGCAGTCTGAGCCATCAAGAGAGGCACACGTGCAGGATGCTTCTAGGTTGGATCTTGTCAAACAGAAAAACAAGGTGGGCATATTCTAGGAGACAGTGGGCAGATGATTTTGACTGGTGTAAAACATCTGCAAACAGAGCTGCTTTTAGAAGTCTTTTGGTGCCTTGACTGCTAAGCTAGAGAATTTGGGCTTCTAGGCAGTGATTCAGATAATTTTATTAATTGACACATATTTAATGATTTGGAACTATTTGAATATTTGTTTCAGCTCTGTGTTGGAATTAATTACATTGTTGTAGAGTTTTTTAAATGTCTACTTTATAGATCTTAAAATGCCAAATAAAAATGATTTTCTTAGTTTCTTATGTGAGGTCTTTGATGAATTCAAGATAATTCCACCTAAGGGCACTACAGCATTGGAGAAGGTATGAGGATCTTAGAATAGGTACTCTGGGTTGGAAGCTACTTTTACAGTGTGACCATGTATAACCTTGGATAAGCTACCTAATCTGTTGAGCCTTAGGGATGTTACAATACCAGTTCCATAGATCTGTTAGGAAGCATCAATGCTTAGGTGATAAAGATCTAATACCTAGTTCTAATGAGGTAGACAATGTATAAATTATATTTCAAATGTTAAAACTTTGTTACTGTCATCATTATTAATAAGGACCTATTTGTCACGTAGCTATTAAACATACCTGATAACACAGCCATATTTGATCGTAATATATGCACAAATTATGTATATTTATACAGGTCCATAATCTGTTATCCATAATTGCAAATCCCCAAAGTTCAGAAGAGTATGTTTATAGTCTGTCTTTATCCCAGTTGGTGTATTCTTATGTTTGTTACAGGTTGGATTATTGGCGTGTTCCCGAGACCTGTTGTGGATGTTATGTAATCACTGGTATATTATCTTTCTTCAATTATGAAAAATTGGCACACAACACACTTCTATTGCCACAGATTTTAGATAGGGGACAGTGGACTTGTAAAGAAGTTAACAAGCATTTGTTGTATTTTTAAACTTTTAATATTTCAAAGGTAGAAGTGTTACTTATGTTTTAATAATCTTTACATAATGTTTTCCACACAAAATACAAGAGAAGTGCTCATCTACCCTGTGGTCCAGCAGTTCCACTCTTAGGTAACTATGAGACATGAAGGCTTATTATATCCAAAAACTAGAAACGCCCAAATGTCTATTGCCAAAGAATGGATAAACAAACAGAGTTTATTCTACTTAGCTATTAAGTGAACTACTTTTACATAGAATGGTTTGGGACAGTTTTCGTAAGTGGGCTGAGGGAAAGAAGCTGGACACACAAAAAAAGTATATACTATGTGATTCCATTGTATGAAAGTCTAGAATGAACAAAACTAAACTGGTGATAGAAATCAGGTGGGTGTTTCTTGGTGTGAGGGCTTGACTGGGAAGAGCCACAAGGGAACTTTCTGAGTTGGTGGAAATGTCCTGTGTCTTGATGTGCATTCATCAGTACTGATTGAATGTTGCATTTAAGATCTCAGTATTTCACTGCATATAAATTATACCTCTATTTTTAAAATACAGAGCAAATAACTTAATGAGAAGTTATAAGATTCCAGATGATCAATGTAAATAGCATTTTATGACCTTAGGTTTCATTGCTTAAGAGCAGCTTCCTTTGATAAATTGGAACCAGTGTTTGTCTCTACAGAGGCGCTTGTTCCTGAGCAACGTTCCACAGAATACCTTTTGAAATGTGCAGAGTTGATATGTGTGATTTCAAGATGCCATATTTGATCAGCTTTTATCTTTGAGAGAAGAGGGGAGGCCACATAAACCCCTTGTATGAAGCCTAGTTAGTAGAAGCTCTACAGCTTCTGGACTATAGAAGAAACTTGGTAGTAATAACTTAAACTGTCAAGTTTTCTTGTCTGAACTTATATTTGAAAAAGGGTGAAATACATTTTCAGCAGCATCAGGCAGGTCAGGTATACACTACCAAATTTTATTGACAAAACTGGGACAAGAAGGTTGAAGTAATCATTTTTATGTGAAAGTAATTTCATAGTAAATTCTGCCTTCTCTTGAGACACACTGCCTCATGCTCTGAGTACAGAATGGGTGGGAGTGAATGGCAAGGACTTAATTATAGTGAGAGCACCAGGTTCGAATTTCAGCTTTACCAAAAAAATTCTGTGCTCTGCTATTAGGTGTAGTGTAATCTGCCGTATGCGATATAATTCAATGTACATACCACAGTTTGTAAGTCTCAGTGGCCTCCAGCAAAGTCATTATGGCATACTCCAATGACACCACCTAATGAAAGTTTGTCACTCATTTTTATCCTCCTGATGTCACCACATCTGTTTTTCAGTTTCCTGTATCCTCCCTGCAAAAGGAACACACATGCATCTTCCTCTTTGCTTTCTCCCATACTTAATAACTGCATCAGCAGCTAATGAGTGCTGAGTGCGGTTGTTTTGTTATCCACAAGAAGCAGTTCAAGAAAACATGTTCAAGCACCTCTTCTCTGTGTGAGGCATTATATCACAGTGTTGCTGCTTCCATCTTTATTTACTTCCTCCTCTTGCTGACATTTTCAAACATACACCACTGAAGGTATACCTGTTGCTTTTCTTTTTACTCACGTAATTATGTACTTCTTCTGGTATGCTTTTTATATGTAGATTTAAATTTGAAATGACTGGATAAGTTTTAATTTTTAGTATTACTAATTGTCAGAGAACAATTTTAAGAGTTTTTATCATAATAGATTTCTAATTAGTGGTGGTCATTAATTTATTCCAGTGATGGTGCTTATTTTTTTTTTTATATTTAATAGTGAATTGCTGTGTCTTTTAGAGAAATCATATTACTTCACTTTTCCCTCATTCATCTTGTACAGGTTCCTAGGGATTAAGGAATAGGGACCCCACACGCAGGCAGGTACTTCTCTGTTGGCTGCCGTAAAGTAGGTTTTGAAAAGTTGTCAGTGGCACGTTAAATTCTGTCTTCATGATGTTTTCACTCACTTCTTTCTTTAATTCTTTGTGGTTAATTAAAAACTCACTAAGCAGTTATCTTTACTACAAATTACAGTACCCCATTTGCTGCTATAGTGCCAAGCACAAGATTTTGGGTATTGTGTACAGTTGTAATAGAAAAGGAAGAATGAGAAGTTGGCATGTGTCCTTGTACTGCTCCTTTCTTGAGTTCAATCAGCAGATCAGAAAAATGTATCATTGGCTTACTTTTCTTTTTAAATATTAAGCCCCAAGAATTAGATAATGAATAAAATATGTGAGCAGGCACGTAGTTCCTTTTCTACCACCATCTTTAGTAATGAACCTCGGTAGTAGACCTTCATCTACTGTTTTCTTTAACTGTGGCTAATTTAGTGGGATTTAGACATTTGCAATTTGGAAACATATTTCTCGTATCGTTTAAAAAACAAGTCTCAGCAAATAACTTGGTGAGTGGGGTGAATGGGGAGATAGGCAATGATAAATAAGAAAAAGTCTCTGAAAAAGCTTACTTCAGTAGTGGTGGTGTACACAACAGCGGTAATTCAAGGGAGAAACAATATAATGCAGGGATGGCCCTTTGAGAAGGGTAGCATTCAGGTTGAAGTTCGTGGGAATTAGGATTTTGAAAGGGGAAGAAAGGGTAGACTGCAGTGCAGAGGATAGTTACAATGAGGGAAATCAGAATACACAGCATGATTTGGATTGATTTGTAGCATAAGGTATGTGTAAAAAATGGTAGAAGATCAGTTGATTTAACTTGAAAAAAAGATAGTTTGGAGCCAGAACATGATAGCTTACATGGTTTGTGTTTTTAGATAGTATAACAATAAAGGGTTTTGAGACATGAGAATGTTAAACATTAAGAGGGATATTGTGTATCTGGCAATGTATATAGATTGATTGGAAAACAGATACCATTTTTATAATTCTGTAGTAGTTTGGATAGTACACCCGGAGTGACTAGAGCAAGGGTGACAACAGTAAATGGCAAGGTTAGAGTGAGTCCAAGCTAAATGGGATGGCCACACATTTTAGTGATCAGAGACAATCCTGCTTTATGCCTGTCATCATAGCATAGGTACTGATAATGCCTCTTTTTGCTTCTAAATGTTTCCTGGTTTGGATAATACATTGTATGACCCTAAAGATAGATTTGCTTTAGAATTGATAGCACTTGCTAATTGAGGGGGTGGGGGGATGTTGGCATAGGAGAGCAGAATATATATACAAATTTTAGAAATTCTTCATATTATGATTTTATTAAACTTCCCTTTTTAGACAAAATTCTCTTACCTGGATACCACAATCAAATCTTACATGTTTAAGATCCCAGTTTTTGTTATTTTTTGTCTTTTAATGTACAAATTTAAGTTTTGGAATCTTCAACAAAATGGACAGTACAAAAGAGAATATACTTTTTTTTAATCTTAGGTAACATTTTCATTCTATTTAAAAGGAAAGGTTTTTAGGATAACTTTAATAAATCAGTGTAGCATACATGAAAAATTTCCAAACAGAAATGTAGCTGATGTCAGTCGAGAATATCCTGCTTCTCAGTACACCGTCACTGAGAGAATGGGCCTCAGTATGTCAGCATCTTAGTTCTTAGTTTTTTTTTTTCCTGACTAAAACAGGTGGCTGTGAGTCACATCCCTGTTTTAGTGTCTGTGTGTAGATACAGCTGTGATATATGCAGACCATCTCAAGTACTTACTGCCCCTGTGTTTTCCATGTACAGGCGGAGGGAGAAGACAGCCTGAAGAAGATGCAGCTGATGGAGCTTGCGATACTGAATGGCACCTACAGAGATGCCAACATTAAATCACGTAAGAAAGAGACGGGCCCAGGGTAACAGCTGTCTGAGCTGTTTTGTCCACAAACCTTTCTCTTTTTAGCAGCACAACACATGAACTGTTAAATGGGAAGAATTGAAATTATTGTCTCTTAATATGGATGGGACTAGTAGTCCCATTTTTAGTGCTTTCATGAATTGAGGACACTTTTTTTATTTTACTTCATGCCAGCATGTCTAAGTTTGGGGTTTATAAATTTCATTCTTTGATTGAAATTTTGACTTCTAAATTCAAGAGTTTCAGGAAATTTCTTGTTCTGTTAACTACAGATTTAAAGCTTCTAGCTTATTTTGCTATGTTTATACAAAGGACAAAATATTTTTGAGACTTTTTTAAGGCTAATTTGGAATGTATCTAAATGTACTGATCTTTTGTTGAATTCTGTCCTTTACCCTTGCTTGCATGTTTTCCTTCCAGTAGTGTTTCTCTACTGATTATATATGTGAGTTCACAGAGAGCAGTAGGTGATAATATTTTTCATCTCATTTTTCCCTTTATATTTACTGTGCGTGCATGCATGCTTTGATAAACTATGAGGATTGTTTTTTTACATTTAATGTGAGACAGAATGAAAGTGAAATATATTTTGAGACAATCTAAGGTTTACATGTCATTTATATGAACATAACATCATATTTAAGTTACTAATTTTTCGAAGAAACAAAGTTTTAAAGCCCTGGCCAACTTTCCAAACTGTAGGCAACCTAGTGGGTGTAGAAGTGACCATTTTACACATGGTTGGCTTTAATTTATTTAAGAGAAGGAGCATGTCATTAATAGTCACGTATTTAGGAACAGTACCTTTTCTGTATTTTTTTCTATGCAGAAATTCCTACGGATTCAGGAAATTTATATGTAACTTGACTAACAATAATAAAATGAAGTTATTCTTTCCCTAATTTGAAATGGAAGCTACTCTTTAGAAATATGCCAAAACTGTATTTCTGTGGACTCCAATTACAAGAAAAAAAATTTTAACATGTTTTTAATGCAAGTGTTTTTTTGTGCTTCTGCATGTGTCTTTGGTTTCATGAGGTCTAAAAACATAGATACATCAAATATATGGAACTAAATATAACCTATTTTAATGGTCTCATTCATTTTTTTTTACAGTTTTTAAATTTTTGCATATTTGTTAATCACATTGGGAAAGGGGAAGCTGTTTGCATTTGATTGGTGTGCTTTGGCATTTTTGTGTGATCAGCGCATGTACTAATGATTTCCTTTTATTTTTCTTCTTTCCTGCTTTTTCCTTTCTTTTTCCTACTTCCCTCTCATTTTCCGTATTTTACACTGCTGTCTCTGTACTTCCTTCTAAATTTCTTTGCTTACTGTAGCAGCCCTTGCCTTTTCTCTTGCAGCAACTGCCCAGGCTGCTCCAAGGATTATTACCGGGCCTGCGCCTGTTCTCCCACCAGCTGCCCTGCGTACTCCTACGCCAGCTGGCCCTACCATAATGCCTTTGATCAGACAAATACAGACCGCCGTCATGCCGAACGGAACTCCTCACCCAACTGCTGCAATAGTTCCTCCAGGGCCCGAAGCTGGTTTGATTTACACACCCTATGAGTACCCCTACACGTTGGCACCAGCTACATCAATCCTTGAGTATCCTATTGAACCTAGTGGTGTATTAGGTAAGTTGTTCTCCCTGTCTAGTTAGCAATATTTTTCCTCATAGCTTTTGCTGCCCCAGACTTTGAACTGATTGTATCAGTTTTAGAGAGGCAAGAGAAGTTTCCATTGGGAAAGCCTAAAGACTAATTTTGTTTTATTTCAGCCTCTCATAAGGATTCCCCTTTTGAAAAATTGCATCTTAAATTTGTTCAGGTTCATTTTGGTAACTAATACTCACTGGTTGGGTAAATTTGCTGTGAACATTTTAAACAGAAAATACTCACATTTGGTATCACTGAGGTCATTCTGTGTTTTAGATCCCTCCTATTGGCCTATCCCTTCTAGCAGTTCCACTACCCAAAGTTAGGTTTCCTTTCATCTCCGAGATTTATATATTTAATTGTTGTGTTGGCTAAATTTTAAGTTTCTTTGTGAGGGTATTTTGAGATTTTTTTTTAAAGCTGCTATTATTGTGTGTGTATTTTCTGATATTTGTGATCACTTAAAATATGAAAGGGACCAGATGCATTCTTCAGGTTTCTTCAGTTTTTCCTCTTTTAAAGTCTTAGCTAATATAAAACAGAAGCGATACTCTCAATTTCAACAGTACAGTATGAGATTGATAAGTAAGTACCAAGTCACTGAAGTAGAATCACATTTGAGGCAAAAAATTAAGATCAAACTATAATAAACGCTTGGTTTTGATTGAACAGAAAGTGGTGTGCTTGAAAAAGACATTACTGATGCCTTTTTTTTATAGAGTGGATTGAAATGCCAGTCATGCCTGATATTTCAGCCCATTGACTGCTGGATGAAGGACTAGAGTACAGCAGCTGTTATAACACGACCGTTCAATGTGGAACAAACTGTTTCCGCGCTGCCCCTTTGTTTTACCAGACAGAATTTGAATACTTTTTTCTTGAATTGTATATGACCTTGGTGCTGCATGCATGCTGTTGACTTTTAGGACTTTGATCTTATAAAGTTTTTTTTTCCAGCATTAATACTGATTGATAAAAATTTGGAAGTCTTTAATGAACCTGGACACTAAGATTTAAACTTGAAAATACATTGTTCAATTAAAGAAAGCCACGATGCTCTGTATGTTATCTGTGTGTGTGCATGCATTCAGGTGCCTTTGGTTTCATGAACAAATACATTTAATTGTACATGTTTTCTGTTTATCTCTAAATCATTGTATAAATATTGTAGGTCAGAATTATACTATAGAACTGTTTATGAGAGGCTTGTTTCTGTTGCACATTTCTTGAAGCATTTTTTAAATAACATGTAACATGTAACCTGTTCACGTTTTCCTTTCTGTTAACACTCTGTCCTGTGGCCCCATGCCTGCTCCCCTGTCCCAGAGCTCCTCTCTGCTGCACGCACAGCGTCTGTTCGAGGAGTTCGTTGCTTCCTGCAGGGCTGGCACTCTTAGCCACCAGCTGCTGTTCCAGCACTCTCAATGCAAGATCTCTCTGATTTTGCCTCATGGAATTATACTTGTATAAGATCAGCTTATCTAAAATGAAAAAGGGGTGATGGACCAGTTTACTGCTTAGAAACAGCAAGAGGCACTGCAGTAAAATTTGTTTCTCATTAAAACAATGTTTTTGTGATGTTGGAAAATTTGTATTTATTATAATTATTAGACTGACAAAAGCAAAATATACAGATACCTAATTGGCATTCATAAGATGAATAATAATGAGTACTAAATGACAAATATCCATGATCAATTTTATTTCTCGCTTTGTCACCTAAGCAGTAAAACATGATATTGACCACTTGGAGAAATGAGAAAATTACTTCAGATTTCTAAGTTATAATAAAGTTGCACACAGATAACATGCATGCTATATGTCGAGTCTCACATATTATTTTAAAGTAAGCAGTGCCTTTCAAAACAGATGCAGACATGTGTGTTGGTGGTAGTGAGGAGATTGGTATTAGCATCAAATCTTCATTGATGACTAATTTTTAATTCCCTTCCTTTTATCTTTAGGTATGGCTTTCCCAACGAAAGGCTAAGAATTCAAGAACGGTCTTAACTGAACCCTCATCAGATCTGAATTTAACAAATGCTTAGTCTCAGCAGCCTTTGGGGGTAGGGGTGGGAGGGAAGCTTAGCCTAGCAGTCAGTGACTTACTTGCACTTTTTGCACACTGATCAAAGTAAAAGTATGTCAGTAATTTGGTTTAGTCTGTAATCTTATGAAGTAACGGTAACTTACAGAGTGTGTAGTAGTATACTGACTGCTAAGTGTACTATACTGTTTGCTTTACTAATCACCTAATTCATTGCAGTTCATACTTATTGACGCAAAGTTTAAAACCACAATCTGTAGGCTTTAAGAATTGCTTTTAAACCTTTTTAAGTGATAAACTCTGGAAGTGGTCTTAAGGTTAGCATATAATTGTCAGTATTAAATATGGTATTATTTAAGTAGTCCTGCTGCAAGAAAGGCACTTCAGTGAATATGTGACTAGTAAAGCTTAAATATGTTTGGATCTAATAGAGTTCTTAAAATACTGTAAGTTGGGATTGTAAATGAATGGATAAATAGGTTAAGGCCAAGATGTTTGAAATGAATGCAATATTAATAGACACATATATCACAACATATTATGGTTAATTTTAAAACTACTGTGCCTTAACGTGTTTCTTATGATGAAACTTTTGTAGTAAATGAACATTTGTAATCCATTTGATAAACCTGCTGTTAATGTTTGTTTTCTTTTCCCTTGTGAATATTTTCTAACCTTGTCTTGGTAATTGCAATTTAACTAGGTGCGGTGGCTACTAAAGTTCGAAGGCACGATATGCGTGTCCATCCTTACCAAAGGATTGTGACCGCAGACCGAGGTTAGTTTAGTTCTGCAGTTCTTGTTTGTAAGAAATGCATTGGGTGTCCGTGAGGTTTGCAACACCACACCTGATGGGAGAATGTAACTGCTTACCTGCACACCATTTCTTTTCTTTTTCTAAATTAATTTGTAATAATTGACAGATTTAAAGGTTGGTTTGCGGGGGCGGGGGGTGTCTTTTTTTGTTCTTGGAGTTTTGTGGGTTTTTTGGCTCCCTTCATATTTTAACTTATTAAATCCTATGTTAGTATGTACTGTGATTTATTCCTACTAAGATATAAATTAGTCCATTTGGGGAGCTATTAAATTTTGATGTTGCCTTAATTTTTAGGTAATAATTTTTGCTAAAATTTACCTTTTAATTGTTCTGAATTTTGAGTTGGTTTTGCAAAATGAACTGAGTGGATGGTGCTTTAATGAGAGAAGTAAAGGAATATATGCCTCCTGTGTCCTTTTGGAGAAAACTGAAGATTTAGTTTCCATTTTGCTTTTTAATAAGATATTTGAGCCATTGTATAAACATGAGGATATACATGTCAAGTAGTTAGCTGAAATCAGCAAAGTAAGGACTGTGAAGAGAATTTTGATGCAGTTGGATTTTTTTTATAAATCAGGAAATCAGTTCCCTTTTATCTTATATTCTTTTGCCAAAATGGATCCTTTGATTTTTGTCATTTGCTGCTAAAATGTGTTATCTGAAGGTAAACTATCTCTTGAAGTTCTGTGGTGACATGAATTTAACTGTTTGAATATCCTTTTTGACTAACCTGTGACTGGAAGATAAGTCTTCATTTTTCTCCTTTTCAACATTTGTAATTTGTGTTATATATATGCCCTTGGACCCTTTTATAAATTATTTATGTTTATTGAGGAGTGATATTTTCGGTTTATTGACATTGAATTGTTTCCTACGTTTATCATCACAAGAAAGGAATCTGGAGCAAAGTAGAAAAGGATTTTTTTACAAGTTTCTATTATGGCACATTTATGACCTAATTGAGTTGATCAAAGTCTCTATTATAAATGGGCAAAAGTAATGGATTTACAATACAATCCTGCATCTTCTATGAATTTATGGAAGAACTACTTGCCTTACGTGGTTATCTTGAATACTGGTAATAGATAATAGACACAGCTGTTGTCCACATCAGACTAACATACCTTTGCAAAGACATTGATGATATTTATTTAGCATCATACATAATCAAAGAGCCCTAAAGACTTCTAACTAATACATGACTTGTAGTCGTTATTTAGTGAACAAAATAAATAGACCTCCAAGCTCAGTGATTATGAATATAATACACCTTGTGAGTGTGTCATGTACAAGTGTATACACTACCCCCTTTGCATTAGAACAAGTCTCCTAATGAAGGAGGAAATTAAAAACAAAAAGTCACTTTAGATTTAAGGAAACCAGATAATTCTAGAATAATTTGAAGCTTCTTTCCCCACATTGTTAATGTCAAAAATAGTTACAAAGAGTATTTTTAAAGTAGTTTTTCTTCTGTTATCTTTTCCCTCCATGCACCTTGTAGATTTGTCATAATTTTGTTTTAACATAATAATTATTGGCTTACTCAATACTCCAGTGCCTTCAGATAGTTGAAATATTAGGGAGATTTTATTGCATTTGGAAATGACAGTACATTCCATGCATGGCTCTTTTGTAGTTATATGTGTTTTGATTAGTCCTGACACTGATTTTATTCAAAATGCAATGTCAGCAAACCGAAATGCTACCTTTTTTCTTTCTTTAAAAAACAGAATACATGTACACTGCTGTTAAACTATCACCCTATGCACTCATTGGGTCTAAGGGAGAGGTCTGAAGTCCTTCACTTAAATTATTTTACCATACTACTGTTTTCTCTATTTTTGAGGCGTTTTTTTATTTTTATTTTTTAATCTTTTGAAGGGAAGATTAATATGAGCATTCATTTAAGGCAAGGAAACTCAGCCCTTGGACATATAACCATGTAATTCTATATGAGCATTTAGAGTACTGCATGGTTGACAAATACCTAGTTTTTTACTAGAAATAAACCCACCTTTACATATATTTCATAACTGAATTTGAGGCCTATCATCAAAAGACCAACTGACTTTTTAGTTGTAATGATCCGTAAGTGATTTTGCACGGTTGACACCTGTGTGTACTGTAGGAGTCCAGGACTTGGCAGAGGATGCATTCTAGGTGTACTGGTGTACACACACACACACACACACACACACACACACACACACGTAATATGTGTCTATGTGTGTGTGTGTGTGTGTGTGTATGATAGTTTGTTTTATATATTCCATGCTCAAAAAAACAATGTGAATTTTTCTGAATAATTAATTTACAAAAGCTACCATTTACATAATTTGTATAAGAAACTTGATATAATTTTAATCAAAAATTTAAGTAATATCAAATGCTTTAAGATTCTGTATTTTTGGAGTACCTATGAAGTGGTATGACTGTATCACATTAAATATTTATTTTCTTCCTTGATTTTGGAATAGCAATTTTTATTCAAAATAAAATTCCACTTATTTTTAAGAAATTCAGGGAAAATTTGGTCACATTGAAAATACAGTATTTTTTGTAGTGTTTATAAACTATCCTGAAAGATACTTTCTGGAAAACATTTTTATTACATGAAGGTAATCCAGTCCATTTATTATGTAGATCACTTAAACTCTTTGAACATTACACCTACTGGGTTTTGATTTATGAAGTGGCCTGGAATCTACCTTTGCACTGAGTATCTTTGCATTCACATCTCCTCTGCCTTAGTCATGGCGGTGACAGTACAGAAAATCCTTTCAAACCTCAGAACATAGTAGAAATAATTAAGCTGTTGAACGAGTCTTAAAAATCATACTACTGTTAAGTGGACCAAGTTTGGTGAAGCAGAATGTGACAGGTTGATTAAGGAAGGAACAACTCAAGGACATTGGGAAGGATAACTTTTCCACTTGAGAACTACTTTATGTTTTACTGTAATTTTAAAAAAAAATTTTTTGTTCTGTTATTTTGCAAAAGAAAATAGTATTTACAAGTGGCTTCTTTTAAAATATAAAATATAAGCAGGAATGTATATGAAATGTCAGATTTTATTGTATTTGCAGAGTATTAGCTTTGAAATTGAGTAAAGAAAGCTGTAGTTTTAAAATACCTTATTGGTATCAATTAGAAATTTCTTCTATTTTTTGATGTACTTAGAGCTTTTCGAGTATAGAATTTTAAATGGCAGGATTTTACAGTGTTTACATGCAAGTGCATTTTATAAGTGTTCTATATGTGTAAAATAGTATTTTCAACTGGAAAGTGTTGGCTAGTGTAAAATCCCTGGCCTTTTTCTGGTTCCCATGATGTTGCCTACACCGCTAGACTATAGTTTAGTATTGCTTTGTATCATAAGGCCAAGAAATTCCATGTTGTTTGTAAATAGGATAATTGAAAAAGCAATAAACATTTATTGAACAAAAGAAACCTTGTTTGGCCCAGAGTTTATGTTGAACCAAATTGTTCAAAGAGATTTAAATTTCGTTAGATTCATTTCTGTTGATCATCAGTTATTAATAATCACATCCATCATTAATAGTTGCTTTAATGCTTGCATCTGAGAGAATACTAATGCTTAATAGCAGTCAGATACTGATAACCTCACTGACTGTTTCAAAATTCTGTATACCAAACCTATTCATTGTTGTTTTCCAATTTCCTTCATTGACTGCTACTAACTATTAGTTGTTAGTTGTATTTTATTTCTATTTTTTCCTGTTAACCAGTTTTTGTTTTTGTTTTTGTTTTTTGTGGGAGTGGGCTCTTCTTCATTTGTTCAAATCATGATACGAAATTGTCATGATTTTTATTGTATTCTTTAGATGGTGTCAATCAGTTTGTCAGAATTAAACATGCTTTTTTTATTAGTTGTGATTAGTTTTTCATGTTGTCATTAAGCCGTCACTAGCTGAAACTAATCTCTTCTCTATCTTTTCTTTTCTTTTTTTTTTATTTTGTTTTTTGTTTCTAACCACCCAGCCGCCACCGGCAACTAACCTATGACCTTCTGACCTCTGAACTCTTCACCCAATGATGACCTGACCATGCCTGCCTGCTGATCAGTTAACTGGTAATCGCCTTTGCTTGCCTGTCGTCAGTGCAGCGAGCTGAGGCACTTGTCCGTTCGTTCGTCTTACCATCTAACCAAACAAAAGACAAAGAAATTGTCCTCCAACTCAGCTTTTGTTTTTTGGTTTTTTGTTCTGTTTGGGTGAAAGTGGTTCTAGAACCTGCACTGAATAGTAGTAAAGCAATAAGGCCCAATTCATCCCACAGCACTGATCATCTTGTAATGTCCCACCCTAAGCGAACGGTAAGAAGGCCTCATTTCAGAAGGGAACACAGATGGCCCTTAAGTACTCAGTGACAGAGGCAGTTACTGTGAGAAACTTCTAGGAATCTCTTCTCATAGCGAGTCAAGCTCTCTGAATGTACTGTGTGATGATGCATCATGCATGAACCTTTGGTCAGGGATGTCATTGGTGAAGTGATTTCAAAAGTATTCAAAATTGGATATGCTGTTTAGTCACTACAGTGCCCTCAAAGGGCACAAGTTGCAGCCTTTTTTATATTGCCTGCCAAAATTTGATTAGAAGTGTGCCATGAGAGAAAGCTTAACAAGGAATTTTGAAAAGTAATGCAAAGAACAAACTGCAACACTATTTTTAAAGGTAAATATCTGAGTTAAAATTACTGAACCTTTATTTTACACCTCCTTAAAAAAATATATGAAAACAAGGTACATGCATTATGTGTCACATTACTGGGCAAACTGTTCAAATATTTTTTTTAAACCTCCCTGTATAGAAAAAAATCATTAAGGATGTAAAAGCCATGCTTGCCTATTTGCTGTATACATGTAATGAAATTGTAGATAAAGTGTAGTGCATTGAAACAAATGAACAAAAAGTAGATACTTTTACTATACAAGGGTGCTGGTGCAGAAAAAAATATATATATTTTTGGAAATGTAGCATTTTATACTTTCAAGTGTTATAAAAAAAAGAAAAAGAACAAAGAAACCCTTTATTTCATTAAATGATTTTTTCTGGTGGTTGTCAAGAAACAAAAGACCAAAAGAGCCTTTTTGTCTTTCTTTTTTATTTTTTAAGTATTGGAATAAGTCTAAAGAAAAGAAAGTGCCTTATTTTCCTTCATAGTCATTTAGTCAAGTGTCTCGTAAGATCAGCTCCTCCCTCAGAATACAAGTTAATGCATGTTACTCCATCGCCCAGTATGTGAAAGAAGATAGGAGGGGAGACAAATGAGTTGATGGTTTGAATTATATGATTTTTGCCACATTATCTTGATACAAATTTGCCAAATTTGATACTGTGAAAAAAGTTTGATAACTTTTCTAATGCCTGACAAGTTTTAAAACATCTTTCTTTTCAAGTCATAATTGAACGCTTTGGTTATTGTGCTATTTAATATTAGCCCAAAGGATTCTGAAATGAAAATTACGTGTGATCTGAATGAACATCACTTTACAGACAAAATTAGAGCTTTGTTTTATTCGGAGAAGGGATCCAAGGGTGTTAGGGTTTTTTTTAAATTATTAATTGGAGATAATAGTATACTTAGCAAACTTATTCACAAAAGTGAAACTTTGTCATTTTCATTCTAGAAAACAGTGTTTTTAAATGACCCAAACTTAATCAGACTTTCTGTCATTATCCAGATCACTTGGGTAATCCATCTCTGCTGGTTTTAGTAACTGAAGCTGCCCCACTCCCCCAAAACCACCCTCCCACATACTTTTTCTTTAACTTGAAAAGAATGTGAAAAACAAGCATCATTATGCATACTCAACTACATGTAAGTTGTAAGCTTCCAGTTTCTCATGAAGTTCAGTTTTATAGTTGAAGCAGTTTGTGCACAGAGCCTACATCTAAACACATAAGTAGGTAATCATTAACTGCTCAGTACCAGATGTGGCAAATATCAAGTGGCAGTGGGTCCCCAGCTCATCAACTCGCTCCCTCTGACACCTTCACAGCTTCACAGTCAGAGGTCAGCAGGAAGCTCAGGGAGCACCTGCATGGTGACTTCCATCATCTTGTCTCACTTGGAAATGTTTTCAGTTTATTTACTATGCAATAGACATTCATTGTTTTATATTCAGCTAGCTCTGGTTTAATGTGCCACTGCTGTGTCTTTCTGTTACACATACAGTTGTTTTGATTTACTTACAATATATGCTGTGCCATTTTGATTTTAATTTTGTTTGGTTGGTTGAATAAATTTGCGACACTCAAACCCTTGAGGTGATAGTGTAAGTTTTAAAATGATACCAGTATTTGATCCAGTTTCATCTCAACTATGTTATACCTGGACATTTTAGATGTTTATCAAAGGTCTTTTATGGGGAAGTAAATGTATGAAATAAATGTGTGACATTTATGAGTAATGTTAGCTCTGAACAAACTTTTGAAAACTTAGTTGACAAAATTTTGGATCAACTGAAAAAAAGCATGACTTTTGAAATTTCTGAATGCCTTGGTTCGCAGTATTATCATTCTTTACTGAATTTATTTCTTATTAAAATACGTAGTTTTTAAGACTTTTTTTCTGACAGTATTATGTAATTTTTTTAGCGTGGGTAGATGGGAGTGTCACTTGTATGTTACCGTACAGCTGACATGTATTTTTGTCTATTCTTTATTATCTTAGTAGTTTCATGCTGTGTATGTACCATAACCAACCTATTGCCTATGAGAAACATGTAAGATAATGTATTTACAGCCATTGTTACAAGTTTATAATGTATTTTTCTATCTTGTTTTATATGTATGTTATATAACATTCAAAAAGAATTTTTTTCTTGATTGAGAAAAGGATACAAAATGCAAAATCCACAATTTTGATAACCGAAAATTGCCAATTGTTTTGCAGTACTTTATTATATTGGGTGTCTTGTCTTTCTTGGGCTTTTAGTTAGCTAATGAATGAATACATTAGACACTTTTGGGTTTTAGTTGGGATTTTACATAGCTTGCATTTTAATTCTTTGGTTCTTTGCTGTTTCTATTAACCCATAGCATTATTTTAATAAATGTTATAATACCAACCTACTAACTCTGGACTATGTCTGTTTATTAACCTTTACATGTTTAATTAAAATAAACACATAAAGACAAAAGAATGTAAAATCTTGAGTTACTGGACTAACCCTGAAGAACGTGACCACAGATAACATAGCGTGACTTGTTTTTATGTTGTAATTTGGTCACATTGAAAATACAGTATTTTTTGTAGTGTTTATAAACTATCCTGAAAGATACTTTCTGGAAAACATTTTTATTACATGAAGGTAATCCAGTCCATTTATTATGTAGATCACTTAAACTCTTTGAACATTACACCTACTGGGTTTTGATTTATGAAGTGGCCTGGAATCTACCTTTGCACTGAGTATCTTTGCATTCACATCTCCTCTGCCTTAGTCATGGCGGTGACAGTACAGAAAATCCTTTCAAACCTCAGAACATAGTAGAAATAATTAAGCTGTTGAACGAGTCTTAAAAATCATACTACTGTTAAGTGGACCAAGTTTGGTGAAGCAGAATGTGACAGGTTGATTAAGGAAGGAACAACTCAAGGACATTGGGAAGGATAACTTTTCCACTTGAGAACTACTTTATGTTTTACTGTAATTTTAAAAAAAAATTTTTTGTTCTGTTATTTTGCAAAAGAAAATAGTATTTACAAGTGGCTTCTTTTAAAATATAAAATATAAGCAGGAATGTATATGAAATGTCAGATTTTATTGTATTTGCAGAGTATTAGCTTTGAAATTGAGTAAAGAAAGCTGTAGTTTTAAAATACCTTATTGGTATCAATTAGAAATTTCTTCTATTTTTTGATGTACTTAGAGCTTTTCGAGTATAGAATTTTAAATGGCAGGATTTTACAGTGTTTACATGCAAGTGCATTTTATAAGTGTTCTATATGTGTAAAATAGTATTTTCAACTGGAAAGTGTTGGCTAGTGTAAAATCCCTGGCCTTTTTCTGGTTCCCATGATGTTGCCTACACCGCTAGACTATAGTTTAGTATTGCTTTGTATCATAAGGCCAAGAAATTCCATGTTGTTTGTAAATAGGATAATTGAAAAAGCAATAAACATTTATTGAACAAAAGAAACCTTGTTTGGCCCAGAGTTTATGTTGAACCAAATTGTTCAAAGAGATTTAAATTTCGTTAGATTCATTTCTGTTGATCATCAGTTATTAATAATCACATCCATCATTAATAGTTGCTTTAATGCTTGCATCTGAGAGAATACTAATGCTTAATAGCAGTCAGATACTGATAACCTCACTGACTGTTTCAAAATTCTGTATACCAAACCTATTCATTGTTGTTTTCCAATTTCCTTCATTGACTGCTACTAACTATTAGTTGTTAGTTGTATTTTATTTCTATTTTTTCCTGTTAACCAGTTTTTGTTTTTGTTTTTGTTTTTTGTGGGAGTGGGCTCTTCTTCATTTGTTCAAATCATGATACGAAATTGTCATGATTTTTATTGTATTCTTTAGATGGTGTCAATCAGTTTGTCAGAATTAAACATGCTTTTTTTATTAGTTGTGATTAGTTTTTCATGTTGTCATTAAGCCGTCACTAGCTGAAACTAATCTCTTCTCTATCTTTTCTTTTCTTTTTTTTTTATTTTGTTTTTTGTTTCTAACCACCCAGCCGCCACCGGCAACTAACCTATGACCTTCTGACCTCTGAACTCTTCACCCAATGATGACCTGACCATGCCTGCCTGCTGATCAGTTAACTGGTAATCGCCTTTGCTTGCCTGTCGTCAGTGCAGCGAGCTGAGGCACTTGTCCGTTCGTTCGTCTTACCATCTAACCAAACAAAAGACAAAGAAATTGTCCTCCAACTCAGCTTTTGTTTTTTGGTTTTTTGTTCTGTTTGGGTGAAAGTGGTTCTAGAACCTGCACTGAATAGTAGTAAAGCAATAAGGCCCAATTCATCCCACAGCACTGATCATCTTGTAATGTCCCACCCTAAGCGAACGGTAAGAAGGCCTCATTTCAGAAGGGAACACAGATGGCCCTTAAGTACTCAGTGACAGAGGCAGTTACTGTGAGAAACTTCTAGGAATCTCTTCTCATAGCGAGTCAAGCTCTCTGAATGTACTGTGTGATGATGCATCATGCATGAACCTTTGGTCAGGGATGTCATTGGTGAAGTGATTTCAAAAGTATTCAAAATTGGATATGCTGTTTAGTCACTACAGTGCCCTCAAAGGGCACAAGTTGCAGCCTTTTTTATATTGCCTGCCAAAATTTGATTAGAAGTGTGCCATGAGAGAAAGCTTAACAAGGAATTTTGAAAAGTAATGCAAAGAACAAACTGCAACACTATTTTTAAAGGTAAATATCTGAGTTAAAATTACTGAACCTTTATTTTACACCTCCTTAAAAAAATATATGAAAACAAGGTACATGCATTATGTGTCACATTACTGGGCAAACTGTTCAAATATTTTTTTTAAACCTCCCTGTATAGAAAAAAATCATTAAGGATGTAAAAGCCATGCTTGCCTATTTGCTGTATACATGTAATGAAATTGTAGATAAAGTGTAGTGCATTGAAACAAATGAACAAAAAGTAGATACTTTTACTATACAAGGGTGCTGGTGCAGAAAAAAATATATATATTTTTGGAAATGTAGCATTTTATACTTTCAAGTGTTATAAAAAAAAGAAAAAGAACAAAGAAACCCTTTATTTCATTAAATGATTTTTTCTGGTGGTTGTCAAGAAACAAAAGACCAAAAGAGCCTTTTTGTCTTTCTTTTTTATTTTTTAAGTATTGGAATAAGTCTAAAGAAAAGAAAGTGCCTTATTTTCCTTCATAGTCATTTAGTCAAGTGTCTCGTAAGATCAGCTCCTCCCTCAGAATACAAGTTAATGCATGTTACTCCATCGCCCAGTATGTGAAAGAAGATAGGAGGGGAGACAAATGAGTTGATGGTTTGAATTATATGATTTTTGCCACATTATCTTGATACAAATTTGCCAAATTTGATACTGTGAAAAAAGTTTGATAACTTTTCTAATGCCTGACAAGTTTTAAAACATCTTTCTTTTCAAGTCATAATTGAACGCTTTGGTTATTGTGCTATTTAATATTAGCCCAAAGGATTCTGAAATGAAAATTACGTGTGATCTGAATGAACATCACTTTACAGACAAAATTAGAGCTTTGTTTTATTCGGAGAAGGGATCCAAGGGTGTTAGGGTTTTTTTTAAATTATTAATTGGAGATAATAGTATACTTAGCAAACTTATTCACAAAAGTGAAACTTTGTCATTTTCATTCTAGAAAACAGTGTTTTTAAATGACCCAAACTTAATCAGACTTTCTGTCATTATCCAGATCACTTGGGTAATCCATCTCTGCTGGTTTTAGTAACTGAAGCTGCCCCACTCCCCCAAAACCACCCTCCCACATACTTTTTCTTTAACTTGAAAAGAATGTGAAAAACAAGCATCATTATGCATACTCAACTACATGTAAGTTGTAAGCTTCCAGTTTCTCATGAAGTTCAGTTTTATAGTTGAAGCAGTTTGTGCACAGAGCCTACATCTAAACACATAAGTAGGTAATCATTAACTGCTCAGTACCAGATGTGGCAAATATCAAGTGGCAGTGGGTCCCCAGCTCATCAACTCGCTCCCTCTGACACCTTCACAGCTTCACAGTCAGAGGTCAGCAGGAAGCTCAGGGAGCACCTGCATGGTGACTTCCATCATCTTGTCTCACTTGGAAATGTTTTCAGTTTATTTACTATGCAATAGACATTCATTGTTTTATATTCAGCTAGCTCTGGTTTAATGTGCCACTGCTGTGTCTTTCTGTTACACATACAGTTGTTTTGATTTACTTACAATATATGCTGTGCCATTTTGATTTTAATTTTGTTTGGTTGGTTGAATAAATTTGCGACACTCAAACCCTTGAGGTGATAGTGTAAGTTTTAAAATGATACCAGTATTTGATCCAGTTTCATCTCAACTATGTTATACCTGGACATTTTAGATGTTTATCAAAGGTCTTTTATGGGGAAGTAAATGTATGAAATAAATGTGTGACATTTATGAGTAATGTTAGCTCTGAACAAACTTTTGAAAACTTAGTTGACAAAATTTTGGATCAACTGAAAAAAAGCATGACTTTTGAAATTTCTGAATGCCTTGGTTCGCAGTATTATCATTCTTTACTGAATTTATTTCTTATTAAAATACGTAGTTTTTAAGACTTTTTTTCTGACAGTATTATGTAATTTTTTTAGCGTGGGTAGATGGGAGTGTCACTTGTATGTTACCGTACAGCTGACATGTATTTTTGTCTATTCTTTATTATCTTAGTAGTTTCATGCTGTGTATGTACCATAACCAACCTATTGCCTATGAGAAACATGTAAGATAATGTATTTACAGCCATTGTTACAAGTTTATAATGTATTTTTCTATCTTGTTTTATATGTATGTTATATAACATTCAAAAAGAATTTTTTTCTTGATTGAGAAAAGGATACAAAATGCAAAATCCACAATTTTGATAACCGAAAATTGCCAATTGTTTTGCAGTACTTTATTATATTGGGTGTCTTGTCTTTCTTGGGCTTTTAGTTAGCTAATGAATGAATACATTAGACACTTTTGGGTTTTAGTTGGGATTTTACATAGCTTGCATTTTAATTCTTTGGTTCTTTGCTGTTTCTATTAACCCATAGCATTATTTTAATAAATGTTATAATACCAACCTACTAACTCTGGACTATGTCTGTTTATTAACCTTTACATGTTTAATTAAAATAAACACATAAAGACAAAAGAATGTAAAATCTTGAGTTACTGGACTAACCCTGAAGAACGTGACCACAGATAACATAGCGTGACTTGTTTTTATGTTGTCTGTCAGCTGACAATTCTGCACATTACTGTTAAAATGGCTTTTTTGGTTATTCTGGCCTTTTACCTTGGGGGGTAGGTGCCAGTAGAGATGGGAACAAAATAGTGTTGGTTTGAGGCATTCTAGTCTTGCCACTTGCCTTTCAGCCTCTGCATTACTAATTCCACACTTTCTTATTTTTCCTTCTCCAAAATAATCACTGTCTGCTCACAGCATAAAGCAGAAAGAGATTTCATTGTAATGATGAACCCCAAGAAACCAGTTTGATTCCTTGTTGAACCATTTTTTTTTTCCATTTCTGAGTAGGTAACTGTATGGTCACATTATAAAACAAATTATCTGATGATGTTTCCTTCATTCAGATTTGTCTTAATTGAACATCTTTCTTTTATAATGTGTTGAACTGTTTTAAGCCAGCTGCTCCTATTAAGGGAGCTCAATACAGGTAAAGCCAAAGGCAGAGTGGCTTGTGTTTCTCATGACAGTCCAGAGTAAACCATTAATAGTGACAACATACCCCACTTCGCTCTCACCCTCTTCCAAAATACAGTAGGAATATAACATTAATACAAAAATTTTAAGGGAAAAGGACACTGGCATTTGAAAACTTACATATCGTTAATTTATTTACATGCAAGTCAGTTTAAGAAGATTAAATATCTTCATGCTTTTGCTGGCTACAGCCTAGGTAAACTGATGTCTACTTATGAATTCTCTAACTCTTAAGATGGATTTTTATTTCACAGATACTGGTCATTTCCTTTTCTGTGAAACAGTTCTAGATAATAAATTCTCAGGATGAATCTTTGTGTTTGTAAATAATGGCTTATCTTTGTAAATTATATTTTATTTATTTGAAAGTTTAAAATTGGCTGGAATGAGTCACATGTTTTGGAAGATACAAGTATGCCAGTATTAACCAGACTGTTGAAGTATTCCCATATTTATATATCCCCATAGTATATATATACATATATGAAATGCCTAGAATAGCGGTAATAACTGATTTAATCATAATTAAGCTTGTCATTTGGATCAAACAAATACAGTTTCTCTGATTTAGGGGTGGGGGGCATGTATTATTAGGTAGACAGCTTTAATATACTACTATCTAAAAGTTCTCATTGCCATATGGTTCATGTATTCTATAAAAGTTTGAAGATGTCTGTGAAGCTGCTAATATACAAGTTGTCATGGTACTATGTCCCTTAAGTTGATGAATTTCTATGCAATTTGTTACATGTTCTCTGAAGCCTGTGAATGCAGTCTCATCTCATTTTCAGCCAAGGTACCTTAGGTATAATTATATCATACTGTCACCTTTATGATGTAAGAGCTGTTAAAGACCACATTTAAAAGGTGAAAATAATAGTACAAATTCCACTTTCCTACAGGCTGTAATAGTAATAAACATGATACTACCAATTTCTTAAGAGTGATAAAATGCTAAAATCAGTTTATTGTTTTCTACTATTTTTTGATCAAACAATTGAAAGTTAAGCCTTCAGTAGAGAAGCTGGTCAAATAATGTACTGAATGGTTTTTTTTTTTTTTTGTAGCATGAAAATAAATAATTCCATACGCCCTAGTGCAATAACTGTGTGCAGTAGAGCCCACCTGGAGGGGTAGTGCAACACCCTCTCCTTAAAGCCAAGACGTGCAAACACACAAAGTAGGTAGGTGGTTAAGATTTTCTAAATAAATACTAGACAGATAAGGATTTTGTAGTGCACTGAAAGACATTAAGTTTAAAACAAATTGCTCATTACCAAAATCAAGAATCTTTTCTTTACCAGTGAAGTCTAACACTTACTGTATCTTAGGTACAAGAAAGAGTTCAAGTTTTCTCCAGTTTTGTTTTTTCAATTTTGTTTGCTTGTTTGGGATAAGGCGTCTGTCTTTATTCCTTGATAATAATTAGCTTTATAGTATTTCCAGAAGGTGATTTTTAGAATAATGAAATCTGTTGCTAGATATAATCCATTATTTAATATAAAAAATGGCTCTCAGAAAACTGTAACAGTTTTCAGACTCAGACTTTGTAAGAACTATTTAAGGTAGTTCTTTTAACATTGTCACAAATTATTTAATATCATTATTTAAAAGGGGAAAATAGTTTTTTTTAAAGTGTTGTCTTCTAAAAAAGATAACACAGTTTTAGAAATATTCCGCTGGTATACACGTGATTTCACCTGCGGTTCCTTAAAATTATCCAAATTGAAATGTCTTTGTTATGTAGAGACTTAACAAAATTGTATACCTGGTACTCAATGCTGAATCAAACTGGTTCACCTAAACGTAGTACTCCTCTCTGTGTTTCTGTTGCACTAATTACAGGGGGCGGGAGAGGAGGAGGAATTAATTCGTGATGGAAGTGGGTGGTAGGTGCAGCGTATAGCACAACAGTGCCTCCCAGTTGCTTGATGGTTCTGCTGGAAAAGCTCAGCTCCCAGGGTGAAAAAGAAAATTACGCCTTTTTAAAAATGCTATTATTCAGAAGTTCTGATTACCAAATACATCTGTGTGGTTTATATTGTAGTGGTGTGTATAAAACATTTAGAATTTTATTTGTGGAAGTTGTATATGTAGAGAAAAAGTAGGTCTTCCCAAATCACATGTGAATGGAGAACCCCATATGACTGTACATAAAGTGCAATAAACCAACTGGAAAAGTGTACATATGCTTCATCTTCTCAGGCAAGTTGCAGCTGAATATGCTGCTTATGCCCCTCTCCCCCCCCAAAAAAACGTGTAAATACCAGAATAAAGAATGCACACTCTCATTTTTAATTTTTATTGATCTTTCAACACTATTTAAAATAATATAAAAAAGATCTGACATTCTGGAGCTCTGTCATTTAGAAAGCGATCCCCATTTGTCTTGACTGCAGTAATTGAAGGAAATCATAAACAGTGTTCCTCAGCTGACTGTGCCTCCAAAATAGAATTCTGATTAAGAATAGGTACAAGAAAGAGTTCAAGTTTTCTCCAGTTTTGTTTTTTCAATTTTGTTTGCTTGTTTGGGATAAGGCGTCTGTCTTTATTCCTTGATAATAATTAGCTTTATAGTATTTCCAGAAGGTGATTTTTAGAATAATGAAATCTTTTGCTAGATATAATCCATTATTTAATATAAAAAATGGCTCTCAGAAAACTGTAACAGTTTTCAGACTCAGACTTTGTAAGAACTATTTAAGGTAGTTCTTTTAACATTGTCACAAATTATTTAATATCATTATTTAAAAGGGGAAAATAGTTTTTTTTAAAGTGTTGTCTTCTAAAAAAGATAACACAGTTTTAGAAATATTCCGCTGGTATACACGTGATTTCACCTGCGGTTCCTTAAAATTATCCAAATTGAAATGTCTTTGTTATGTAGAGACTTAACAAAATTGTATACCTGGTACTCAATGCTGAATCAAACTGGTTCACCTAAACGTAGTACTCCTCTCTGTGTTTCTGTTGCACTAATTACAGGGGGCGGGAGAGGAGGAGGAATTAATTCGTGATGGAAGTGGGTGGTAGGTGCAGCGTATAGCACAACAGTGCCTCCCAGTTGCTTGATGGTTCTGCTGGAAAAGCTCAGCTCCCAGGGTGAAAAAGAAAATTACGCCTTTTTAAAAATGCTATTATTCAGAAGTTCTGATTACCAAATACATCTGTGTGGTTTATATTGTAGTGGTGTGTATAAAACATTTAGAATTTTATTTGTGGAAGTTGTATATGTAGAGAAAAAGTAGGTCTTCCCAAATCACATGTGAATGGAGAACCCCATATGACTGTACATAAAGTGCAATAAACCAACTGGAAAAGTGTACATATGCTTCATCTTCTCAGGCAAGTTGCAGCTGAATATGCTGCTTATGCCCCTCTCCCCCCCCAAAAAAACGTGTAAATACCAGAATAAAGAATGCACACTCTCATTTTTAATTTTTATTGATCTTTCAACACTATTTAAAATAATATAAAAAAGATCTGACATTCTGGAGCTCTGTCATTTAGAAAGCGATCCCCATTTGTCTTGACTGCAGTAATTGAAGGAAATCATAAACAGTGTTCCTCAGCTGACTGTGCCTCCAAAATAGAATTCTGATTAAGAAACAGGTGCAATTTGTATGTAGCGTTTAGATGTAAGAAAAAAGAGGAATGACAACCAAATATGAATCCCATCGGTTATGTGAAAAGGACTAATGTCAATTTCTTGAACAAAGAAGAAGAATGGGTGAAAAGATTGTCACTGGTAGTTTGAAGCCTTTCTGAGATTTCATCCTGACAGATAGGTCTCGTGATTCCCTGCGCCTTAGGTTTCCCAGTACCTTCCTTCTTCAGGATCTCCAAGTGCTGGGCCTTTGCTCATCACTCACTAGGGTGTCATTTTTGCCCCACACACCTTAAAGGGCCAGGTGGGTGGGATCTAGAGCACAAGAGCAGACAAGCAGCTGCAAATGGCTTTGGCTTTCACCTAGACAGGGTTGTTACAGCTGTTTTGATTGCCTGCCTGCATTTAGAGTCTAAAGATTGGACTTTAAACCTCTTCACTTCAAATATCAAAATACCTAGACAGCTGAAGCCTGCCTTTCACATGGTAACCATCAGCAGAAACGGGCATTTCGATACCCGCTTCAAGCCATGTGCTGCCTAGCGAGTCATCTCCCCACCACTCCTTACTGCCCCTGGCCTGCGTGGGCCCTTGACTGCCTTATCCTGTCCTGCTCTGATGTTTTCCTCACCTCCTGGGTCCCAGTAGGCATCTGTGCTTCTGATCCAGAATGGTAATTTTGACTCCAGTAAACTAGTTTCTTAAAAGGTATAATGTAAAACAGGTTCTACTGTTCTTACCTGCCCCCCACCCAGAATCAGAAGAATGCAATTTCTAAATAATAAATTTTAGTCAATTATAATTCATACCTGTCTCTTAATATATGGTTGGGAGTTTCTGTTAAGTGAGTGGAGGGACCAGATGGCATTTGAGTTCCTTCCTATAATTTTTTATATTTATACCAGCTACCTGTTCATAGTGAATTTTTGTGGTCTTGTTAGAAAGCAGTTAAACTAATGGAACACTGAATAGTTGTATTCAAAATATTCCACATCTAAAAGAAAATACTGGTGATAGCAAATTTGGGATCACATTTTCCAGAAAATGTTTGTTAAAATTAGATTATCCCAGTTAAGTGTTATTTTGTGAAGCATATAGAGTGCAGTCTATCACAGAAGTGCTTATTTTTATGCACTATACACAACAGTTGAGTTTCAGAAAGCATCTCAAAATTAAGATGAAAATTATGGTTCTGCCTTTGCAATGTATGCTCTGGTTACTACGCTGGATATTACTTATGCCTTGGTTACTTAGCTGGTTACTAAGGAAAGTAATGGAAAAAACACTGAAAGACAAAATTTTAAGAAAATACTTGCAAATGAATCCACAAGTATTTTTTTACAGAACTATTTGAGTTAACTTAAGATTTCATGATCATTTGTTTAACTTAGAACTTCTGTCAAGGTTGTGAGTGAATAAAGTGGCTATGCTTGAAGCTTGAATTTTAAAAGCTGTTCTTACTGCAATATTTTAAATGATTTAGTCAAACAGTTTAGTAGTATAAGGAGAAATATGGCCTTGAATACATTTTAGTCAAATGTTATATTAATGAATGATATTTCTGCCCATTATTTTCTCAGTGAGATAAAACAACACTGAAAAGTTGTTCAAAGGTAAAATGAATTCTAGATTTCCAGATGATGAGAAAATGTAAAACTTAGTATGTGGAACACTATACATGTGAAAAGATCTAAGAAGGTAAGATCTAAATTGGCATATCAGGGAAGAAAACAAGATTAATAAATGTACAAATGCCCCATTCTAAATTGTCATTCAGGCATCAGCCTGGGGGCTATGAGCAGTAAAACTGGTTTTTAAGTCAAAGGAAAAAAAACTGGGAAGTTTGAAGTAGACTGTGGTCACTAGGTATCAGTGTTGGTTCAAAAGTGAATTGGATGCTTTCCATTGGTCTTGGAGCAACCTGGCACAGAGAGTCACAAAAGAAAAAATAAAATAAATAGTTTAGTTTTATGTATTCCAGAGGGCATTGCGTTTTCATTGAATTCTATCTATTTTACAAAGAGATTTTGTACTATTCGAGGAAACTATCACTGATGTGAACACTACCAATTACTTATATACCATTAAACTAAAAAATACAGAGAAGGGTCTTGTAAATACACTGACTCCTTCAAAGAGGTATGAACCTGAATTTTTCTAAACTGCTTGTTACAATCTACCAAAGATTGTCCACCTCCATCCTTAGCTCCATCCTAGAAAGTGAATAGCAATGAAAAGTTACTGAATCACAAAGCATACATTGTACCTTAACTAAAACTAACAAGAAGTACTGAACTGAGTTAATGAAAAGTAATTGGCAATAATCATTTAATTATTGGAAATTATTTGTAGTAAGACAGAAATAAGGTTTTTAATTATTGAAATATATGTGCAATATATTTACCTACAGAACTTCACATTTAAGCGAACAGTGAACTGCGACTAGGAAGAGTGAATGTTATTAAGGGAAGTACTGGGAAGCTCATTCTTTTCTTACTGCTGTATCCCCTAAATTCCAAGATAAGTACCACTTTCTGCAAGACTGCATTGAACAGACCTAATTCAAAGGAAAAATAGAAAAAAAACATTATGCAGACTTTGCATAATTCGAACTTGAAAAATGGAGTTGATTACCACACCAACTCTCATTTCTTAGGTACGCTTTTTTTCACTTGTCACTTGACCAGAACACAGCCAATGAAAGCCATGCTTGCTGTGGTGTCTGCATCCTCTAGCAGGTTGCTGGCCGAGAACTCAGCAACAGTGTCTGTCAGAATGAGCCAGCTCGCCAAGGGTCCTCGGCAGACGGTAAGGAAGGCTCTTTGCACAGTAGGCTCTCCTCCTCTCCTTTTCAGTCCGAATATAAATTTCTTGAGTAGAAACTCTCATAGAATTGTGGTGATGAACCCAAAATACAGAAATACCAGGGGAGAAGTTGGGCTGTATATTAGAAAAGGACTGCTTTAGCATCAAATCATAGACCAATGACTTTAAAAACAAACTAAGTTGATTTAAAAAAATCGCTAATACTCTATCAGGAATCGTGCCTGTCTTAACTGTGTTACTCATTTTGATGAATATTAGCACTGTGATCAACTTCTTGAGTCCTTCACTGGATTGGACCCATGGTGTCAGATGCTAACAATCAGCCTATGATTCAAGAATAGTGTTACGCAATGAACAAAAATGTTTCTCTGCATATTGGTATGCATTAAAACCAAACTTGTGCATCAAAGCTTGTTACTCAAGTATGGGAAAGCCATGTAGTAAAACAGATGAATGCTTTAGAACTAGAAACCAAGAGAAGCCCACATACTCTAAAACTCCATATCCTTTCAAAAACGCTTCCTTCGTGATCTGTTGGGGAGATTTTGCTATTGTTATTCTTGTTACTGATAAGCCTCAATCAACCATGTGGTCTAGATAGAGAGCAAAATAGGAAATTTTCATCAAAGACATCTTTTACTGCACAAGAGATTTTTAGCCTCATTTTGAAACAAAATTTAGGAATGTTTTACTGCCACCCTAAAGCTATGCTTTTCAAAGTAGCTCTAACAAATTTTAAGTTAAAATATTTGTGTGAGGCCACAAATTTAAAACCATAGAGAAAAGTGTATAATGTGTATGCTATGCCTTTATTTATTTGTTAGGGCAATGTAAGCTTGTTTTCCATACTTGCAACTTATTTTGCAAAAATCATCCAAGTGTCTTAAGACCTTGGTGTATTGCAAAGCAAACTGGAGACATATAACCTGCTCCTTAGGCGTTTATGTGCTTTGTCAAAGGGGACATAAGAACTATGTCCATTGTCCAAATAAAGATTTCACTTCTACATTTCATATGCCACTTAATATACATTATAATATACCAAGTTAATTTGGAATATGTGTATTTATAGAGAGAAAGTAACATCTTTAAAGCTGTTTGATCACAGTTATTTTTCTATGGTTCCTTTCATCATACATGAATAGACATCATTTTGTTTTATTAAATACATGTGCTTCTAGGAAAGTGTTTTTGTTTTTAATAGACTGTTTTTAGAGCAGTTTTACATTCACCTCAAAATCAAGCAAATGGTAAAGAAATGCACTTGCCCCCTGCCCCGATGCATGTGCAGCCTCCACCACCAGAGTAGGGCTTTGGTCACAACTGACGAACCTGCATTGACACATCATCACCACCCAAAGTCTACGTTTACAGTAGGTTCACTCTTGGTGTTGAGCATTCTGTGGGTTTGGACAAATGTACAATGACATGTATCCTTCATTATAGTGTCATACAGGGCACTTTCACTGCCCTGAAAGTCCTCTGTCCATGTATTCATGTGTCCCCCAGCCCCTAGCAACCACTGATCTTTTTACTGTCTCTATAGTTTGGCTTTTTCCAGGATGTCTCATAATTGAAATCATACATCATGTAGCTTTTCCAGACTGTCTTCACTCAGTAATATACATTTAAGTTTCCTCCATATGTTTTCATGACTTGATGACTCATTTCCTTTTAGTGTTGATAATACCCCATTGCCTGGATGGACCACAGTTTATCCATTCACCTATCAAAAGACATCTTGGTGGCTTCCATGCAATTATGAATAAAATTCCTATCAACATTTGTGTACTGTTTTTTTATGGACATGTTTTCCATTCCTTTGAATAAATACCACGGAGCAGAACATGATTACTGGATCATATGGTGAGGGTATGTTTAGTTTTGTAAGAAAGTGCCAAACTCTCTTCCAAAGTGGGCTGTATCATTTTGCATTCAGAATTTAATAAGAGGATGATGATTAAGGAGGTAGATAAAAATGTATAATAGTTAAATACA